GAAGGTGAAAGTGTAATTCTCAACCCCACTGCCCTCCGACTCCTGTTAGGTTTCCCACTCTTTGTAGTGAGCAGGGAAAACATTTATCTGTGCCCACAAATCTCAATCAGTCGGGCAATCAGGCACATCAGCACTCCTCGGGAATATCATTTCCTTTGAAAGGCTTTATCAATCCATCTGGTGTGCGCTCAGCCCTATCCTCTCCCTTGATTAATTATTCTGTCCTACCCCTCGTTGACTTTGATGCTTGCTTGTTGAAACAAGCCCTCAGAATACAGGAAATGTGCTTTTTAATCAAAATAGCGCACAACGCTACCTGCTAGGCCTGGGGAAGGCGTGTGCCCTTTGCTACGCAAAGCGATCTGCTGGCTTTGAAGCAGAGCTGGCTGAGATAATCAAGCTGCTCTTTTCCCTGCCTCCCCCTTCTCCATACTCCTTTAGTTTATTTTTTTAGAAGTAGGTTATCCAGGGCAAGCAAGCCCCAAGCATAATAAGCCAGCAGTGTCAGCCATCCAGAAAGCCGGCCCCCGCTCGTGGGACCGAGTGCAGAAAGGAATGTGTCTATATGCAAGCAAGGCCCGTGAGCCACTCAACACCCATTGAAGCCCACCATAAGGGGCACAAATTGGATCGGCCTCATGTGAGGCCCTGGCCATGGGGATAAATTTTACCCTCAGCAGCGCTCCATGTTGGGGCTTGCATAGAGTCTTGTTTTTCTACTGACCATTTTGCAAATGCAGCTTGATCCCAAAGGCAAGGGTGAGAAATAATTTAGTATCACTGAGTACTCTTTGAATTGCTCATCCCTGCTTTTAACAAAAGGTGAGTTGGATGCCGATGGAAATTGCTGCTGAAATCAGTTGAGAGTTAGGTACTTAGCACCTGTGAAGATCTGGGCCTGGATTCAGTCCAGCGGGAATCTTTCCATAGTCTCAAGCTTTGGGCCACACCCTGAGACACTGGCTGAGACTTGGAGCATTTGCCAGAAGTTAAGCTCTTTTTCCAAGGAGAGAGGTCATATATAATCCATCCACTATTTATCTTCCCTCTCTCAGCTGAGTGGGTCTCTCCCTCTGTCTCCATCTGGGCAAGCCGCAGTTCTTGGTTGGCCTTGCTATTCACTCGTGGCTAGGAAGGGGGACACACTCAGTGTCCCCTGAGCAGAACCATTTCTTCTAAGCCACCCCTTTGGGTAGGGCTCTCTCACCTTCACTCTGAGCATGAGCTGCTGATCTCTTATCAGCTGTTTATGTTTAGACTTGGAAGGGGCAAATAACTCCCAGTTCCTCTGACAACACTTAAGCCTGAGCCACCATTTTATTACGTGAGCAAACATCTGATAGCCCCAGAGCCCATCCCTAATGACATGTCATAGAAGCCTCTTGGCGTCTCCTTATCTCTGCCTTATGATGTTTGCTGTGCACTGAAACCTGCAAGGTCACCTGCAGCTTCCCAGCCTCCATCCAAAATCCAAAAACTGAGGAGCAGCGTGTGTGCGTGCACGTGCATTGGGGGCAACCATGTGGCATGGGGGAAACTCAGGAGTGAAGGCTCATGAGATCTAGAGGTGAGAAATTGCCAAGGCCAGGTGTAGGAGGTAGCAGCTATTGGGCAGTGCTACCAAAGGTCGTGCACGTTAGGGTACGGCCTTGCCCTGCCTCACCCAAGTGTCTGTGTTTGCTGCGTAGTACTCTCAGTCCTTGGAGCTGTTTGTGGCATAAGACAGGAATCTTGTTGGGAATGGGCCGAGGGCATGAAGAGCCCTGGAGGAGGGGCGGTAAATGAAGCAAAAAGACATAGAAACCCAAAGAAGCGTAGTGACGTGCAAAGCCTTTCCTCTCGCTTTGAATGGAGGCGATGTCAGTGTGAGTGCAGAAAGCAGAACTTGAGTCCTAAATGCAGCCACCAAACACATGCAGCAGAGGTAGGAGCGGTCAGCGACCGAGATGTCTGCCAAGGTGCGAGTCCATCCCGTGCAGAAGGAACCAGTTAAGGTGGGAGCTCCTCTCTCCATTCTCTGCCAAGGCTGCCAGTGGACCCCTGTCTACTAGGGATCGAGCCCTTCACTCCCTCCACATGAGTCACAGAAAAGCCATTGCTTGGTAATGACTCCTGGCCTGTAATGTGACCTTGCCCCCCCAAGCAGCTTTCAACTCGTGAGACTGCATTTACTCGGTCGGCAGATCAGCATACGCTTCGCTGGTCTTGGCAGCCTGGCAAAGGGGAACAAACTGGTCTCGGAACAGCTTCTCCAACAGGCTGGGCACGAATAGGCACTTTATTTGGTCGGATCTGGCAAGAAAACTCTTCTGCCTCTGCATGTTCCCTATTGCAGTGCCAGAGGCCCTGGGCACAGTCCAGCACCCGGTGAATCAGTATTGTCCTATTGACTTTGGCAGTTGGGACTAGGCTTCACAGGGCTCCTCAGTTACCACCTCAGTGCTGTGTCTCATGGAAATCTCTGGGTAAAAGCTGTGGGCCCGAGGCTGCAACCTTGGAGCATTGAATGGAGCAAGGGGGAAATGAGGAGAGGTAGGTCTGAGCTCCAGGATAGTAGTAGATCTGCTTGGATTCAGAGATTGCTGCAGAAATCCTGGGAGTATCAGCTGGTGTCACCTTGCAGACCCCGTGCAGGCTGGCAAATTTGGCTGCTCTAGGGTTGTGGAAGCAGAAATGTGAATTACTGACTCTGTTGCATTGAGAGTTTTGTGAATGCTAGAATGGCCCTGAAAGCTCATTCCTGATGGCCATTAAAAGGCATCCTGTTCCCCCGCTTTACACGTGGTAACGCGGCATGCATGATCTCTAAGTCACATCTCCTGCTTCTCTCCCACTTTCTCTCCTAGTGCCCCCTGCAAGCCTGGTGATGTTCCACACCTCACTGCCTTTGCACCTAGTGACCGGAGCTTATTTTCCACAACATCACGCCGGTAACCAACCAAGTCTGGGGAGCGTTGCTATAGAGGAGCTCAGCCAGCTTGTCTAGCGCCATAGCGAGGAGCCGATTCGCCTGAAAAAGAGCTGGAGTTTCGTGACGAATAGCCAACCTTCTGCAACTGGACAGGAGCAAGGCTCTGTCCACAAGGTGCCTCATCCCAGAGACCGTGCTCTTCCTTCCCTTCGCACAGTATTTCCAGGACGTGTCTTGAGGATTTTAAGTATTTGCCTTCTAGAGGCTGTTGCCTTTTGTGAGAAAATAAGAACAAAACTGACTGAGAACTGGCAGAAGAGGAGAGGAAGATCAATGCTATTTAACTTATATTTCTCCACCAAAGGGACTGGTGAGAGACTTGGATCTGTTACTTAGAATTTGGAAGGAGGAATCACCTGTGCTGTTGAACTGAGCCAACTACCCTGTAAATATAGATAAGCCTCCGTCCTCCCCAAGCCTTTCACTGTCACCTATACATAGAGATTTATATGAAAGCAGTCAATTGTGTCCAATGGATGTAAACTACTGTAATTAAGTGCAATTTCCCCACCTGTATATATTGGCCAAAATTCTCATACTTCTCCTTTTGTAAAGGTCAGAGCTGAGGTGTTTTGGTTTTCTTTCCCTTTTTTGTTTTCCTTTTCTTTCAATGAGTGAATTCATAAGGAGAGGCCTGGCCATACTCAAGGGTGTCAGTCCCCCAGCATTGCACTGGCTGCTCGACCGGAGGACCGACACAAATGCGCGCCTCTGCAGAGCTTAAAGGCCGACAAGCTGCAGCATAGTCAATAGTCCTGTCTAATAGGAGCCCACGCTTGAGAAAGGACCAGGGATGAAATAAGTGACCCAGTGACTTGCCATGACTGGCACGATCCATTTGGTGGCGACTATCAACATGCGGCTCTCGACTATTATTATTTTCTTTTTGCTGTTTCGATTGAGGCTAGGCAAGGGTGGAGAAGAGTTCACATGGGTGTAGTGAGACATGTAGACCATTTCTGGAGTCTTCCTTTTTTCAGATGTGTGTAGTTTCCAAGGGAAACTGCTGCTACGATCTGAATGGGTGCATAAGATGGTATTTTTGGTAGGAACATCCTATACCTGCCGGGGGGTTAGATGCCCCAATCTTCCTTTTTTCAGAGAAGGGATTGGGAAGTAGGGAGCGGGCCCCTGTCTGATTTCCATTTTACATTGTAAATTGGACTAGGGTGAACTTTGTTAACCTTACCTCTTTCAATAAATGGGTCACCCTTGTCTTCCTAATGCTACGTTCTAACTTGCTGGTAGCTGTCACATCTTTGCACTTGGATGGAACATCTCTAGTGCTGTGAGTTCAAGAGTGGGTCACACAAACAGCTAGAGACGTTGGCTGATTGTCCTACCTTGGCTCAGCAGGATCTATCTCTTGCTCTATGACCAATCCCTTTTAGTGGGACAGCTCACAGCGTGAGATACTGTTCCTTATGGGTAGGGGTGTGACAGTCTGGGCCCAAGACAGAAAGATCTATGCTGGAAAGTGATCAAGAAGGAGTTGGGATGGGTATATTTGAGTGCCTGCTTTCACTGATGACAATCGATGCAGCTACTATATTGTGGGCAGTGAAGGATTCGCTTCAGGCAGACATTACTGGGAAATGGAAGTGGAAGAGGGGGAGGGTGGAT